TGCATGGGCCGCGAGCGCAGCCCCGTTCCCCTGGCGCCTGGAGCTCTCCGGCCCTTCCTCCGAAGGAGCTGCCCCCTGGGCGCTTGGTTGCCATCACCGGTTATGAAATTCTGTCCGTCTCTAAATTTAGGCCTTAAAAGGATCTGGTGAAGTGCTTGGAACAGCCAGGTGAAGATAAGAAAGGGCGCGCTTCTTCGGAAGCGTGAGTTAGATGCTGTACCCGAGTGGAAAAATTATTTCTGTAAGTTATGCTTTGAGGTCATCTATTTTGAGGAAGGCTGCTCTGGGGTCTCTGTGTAGTGGTCCCCTTGATGGATGTGTTTTGGCCCTCATTAGGAGACTTAAGCCTGGATACAGTGGAGTGTGCGTGTGCTTTGTTAGACTGAAATAGCCTCCTGTTTTAGAAAAATTATCCTCTGCTGTGCCTTACTAAAAAGTAGATGCCCTGCATCCTGATGATGGTGTAAAGAACGCTGGGATGTGCTGGGGAGTGAATCGGCATCATAGCGGTGATTTGCAGTCCTACGGACTGCGTAGGTACTTGTGAAGTGGAGATACGGAAATGCAGTTACAGCTGAGGACTCCAAGTATTAGTGAAGCCTGAGCTGTAGTGGATGTTCTTGGCCAGCTTGAAAATCCAGAACCAGATCCAGATGTGAAAATTTGCTCATCAAAAACACCTTGATATTTCTTTGAGGACATCCATTTGAAAACATATCGGATTAAATAATGAATTTAGTAATTTGAGGGACTCTGTCAGCTTATGTTTCTAAACTTAAAGTGATTTGTAGGTTACTTTTTATGGGGAGGGGAAGAGGGAGATTACTGGCTCAAAAACAATAACACGTTGCAGTTAAATCAATAAAGACAACCAAGAAAGACTCAAAGATGAAGAGTAAAGATTTATCTTAATTTGATCTTATAATGAGAGTACTTTGAAATTCCCCTTATTTTATTGTGATATCTTTATTAAATAACTAGTCAAATTTGAAATCTATGTGTTGTCTAGGGCAAAGGCATGTTATTTTTTTATCATGCATGTATTCTGTCATGATCATAACCATGAGTAAGTGAAATTCAACACTGAAAATAGTTGGTGTTTGTTGGTTTTTTTTTCCCCTCTCTGTAGATTTCCATTCTGATCAATGGACAAGGAGACTGAGCTGTCAAAAATGGCTGATTTAACCCAGACAGAAGAACAGGAAGTAGAGAAGAGTTTGGATGAAGAAGTGAAGAAAACAGCTCGTACTTTAGAGGCAGATTCAGGCATTGGTTGGGAAGGTGATAGTTCAACTTCAGGTACAGTGCACTCCACTGAAAATGAAAAAGAAGTTGATAGTGGTAATCAGGATGGCAGAGCAAAAAGGAAGAATTTAGATCCTGAAGATGAACCTCCTAAGAAAGTAGTGAGTATCATTTGTTTTGAGCTATGTTCAAATCCTTGTTTCAAAGCCTTAGCTCAAGAAAAAGTTGAAAATATTTATGCTAAATGTATGTGAACCGGCTTGAAAGACCAAATGTCAAAGTTTGTGGGTAGCTTCCTAGCAAAATAACAGGTACAGAAGTTATGTTTGGGCTTCACAGAAGAGAAAGAGGGCTTGTTAAGAGAACTGATCTCAGCGCATGCTTAGTCTAATTCTAAGACTACCGTTCCATCGGCTGTGTAGTACCAATCTGGTACTGTCGTCTAGGGTTTACTGGCATTAGTCCAAGTCCCGCATCTTGAATTCGTATGTTTTGTATGTTGTTGTCTGTGTGTTGTTACGGTTATCTGTGTGCGGGAGATTCTTCCGTATGGTAATTTTGTCCTTTAATTCCCTCAATAAGGTATTGCATAATTTAGAAAACTACAAACTGCATCCTCTGTGATACACTTTCAGTATGATTTGTTAGCAAAGTGAAGTACTGAAAGTTTTACAGATGCTTTTTTTTTTTTTTTAAGACTGCAAGAGTAGCAGAAAGTATTTGGCCTTCTAACTGGGAGGGTGAAGAGGGTACTGTTTTATATGATGCTGTCCTTTATTATATATGAGCTTGTAGAAACTGATCCTGTAATATCCAATCTAATCTTGACCTTTTGCGGTATTTAAGTATAATTTGAAAATGTCTTTGACCTAATGTTTTGTTTCTCTGTTCAGAATTTTTTCCAGGATGTTAATCTATGGCTAAGCAGTCTGCTAAAATAAAGGGTGCCCTTTGTTGTGGTAGAAACATTACTAACCCTTTCGTCTTTTTAATAAGGTAGTTTAGATGGGCAAGAAGTACATTTATTTTGTGTAGCTTAAGGGTATAGAGACATGACTGCATTGACTACAGCTGCCAGCATCTAGATGTTATTGCTGATGGCTGTTTGCAACTGTGCTTGCGGCAGCTGAGATGTGTTAATGGATTGTATGAATATGTCCCCCACACTTGCTGAAGTCAGCTGTTCTGTCTTACGTCACCTTCAGGGGCCATTCAGGGACCCATCTGTGCTTACACTAAAAAAAGACTAGAAATGGACAAAATATTTGTTAGTATCAGCCAGCTGAGTGTGGTAATAAACAGATGATGAGGTCATAGAGATTCCAGACAAGGATGTCTGTGTTCATTCTGAAGCTTACCAAATTATATGAAACACTGAAGAATCCATGTAGTATATTAAAGACAGGCAAACCTTCTTTTCCCTTGAGGAGCTGCTATTTGAATTGTAAGATACCGGGATGTTGACTTTTGTAGTCAACTGTTGGGAATGCTTTTTATTGTTATGTGAATTCATACTGACTGGGGCTTTGTAGCATGTTTGTGGGTTTTAACTGAGAGTCCTTCGTTCTAGTTTGTACTGTTATTTCAAACACTTTTGTGCGTCACAGAATTTGTGTTGGTTCTCCGTGTTCTGTTACTTTTGTTGGAAGGGACCTTAAAGACCATCTGGTTCCAGCCCCCCTGCCAAGGGACACCTTGCAACAGACCAGGTTGCTCAAAGCCCCATCCAGCCTGGCCTTCAACACTGCCACAGCTTCTCTGGGCAACCTCTGCCACTGCCTCCCCCCCCTCACCGGGAAGAATTTCTTCCTCGTGTCTCATCTAAATCTGCCCTCTTCTAGTTTAAAGCCATTGCCCCTTGTCCTGTCACTCCCTGCCCTTGTCAAAAGCCCCTCCCCAGCTTTCTTGTCGGCCCCTTCAGGTTCGGGAAGGCTGCTCTAAGGTCTGCCCGAGGCCTTCTCTTCTCTCAGCCTGTCCTCATAGGGGAGGTGCTCCAGCCCTGGGATCATCTCCGTGGCCTCCTCTGGACTCGCTCCAACAGATCCATGTCCTTCTTGTGCCGAGGACCCCAGAGCTGAAGGCAGTACTGCAGGGGGGTCTCACCAGAGCGGAGCAGAGGGGCAGAATCCCCTCCCTCGACCTGCTGGCCACCCTGCTTGGGATGCAGCCCAGGGCACGGTTGGCTTTCTGGGCTGTGAGTGCACATTGCTGGGTCGTGGTGAGCTTCTCGTCAACCAGCACCCCCAAGTCCTTCTCCTCAGGGCTGCTCTCCATCCATTCTCCACCCAGCCTGTATTTGTGCTTGGGCTTGCCAGTTAACTTCATGTATGTAACTGAAGATTATTTTCAAGGTGAAGAAATGTTAGGAGTGTAATATCTGGATGTAGACTGCTTCTCTGTGTCACACCGGACAGAAATCTCTTGGAGTATTTACAGTTAAGGTTGAAACATAGACATTTCTACAGCTAATTGTAAGCATTAAATGGGATAGGTTACCAAGTCGTTACTCTCATTCCCTTTCCATGGTCTGTTTAAAGCTCTGGCCATGGGCTTTATGCAACATCAGCTAGTTGGCAATTTGGTCAAATTGGCAGTTTATACGGTTCTGTTAGGTGTAAACTCTGAATTTATGAAGCAGGATTTTTGAAGAAGCTTAAAGGTCCTCAAGAAGGAACATCCTCTTCAATCCCAGGCGTAAGGGGAATGAAACTGATTCTTTGAGAGTGGCGAGAGTGTTAGAGAGCTGACAGTTAAGTTTTTCTGTGAAGTAAATATGCTGGGCATCGTACGTCAGAAATTACTTGGGCCAGCTGAAAAGGGGATTGAATTTTTAAGGGAATTGTCTCTGTGATAATTGAAGTACTGACGTCAGCACCAGGACAGATATGGGACATGTTTTTTATATATATAATTATGGTGCTTTTCATAGTATTACTTGTTCATTTTCTTAAATCCTTAAAAATGAACACTTGTCTTTTGATTAAATGAAAGAGTAATAAAAAGAATTCACTACTTGACCCTATTCCTTCCCTCGTTTCTACAGCGTGAGATAGGCCATGGGCAAGCTGTAGCTGCGCATTATAATGAACTTCAAGAAGTTGGATTGGAAAAACGTAGCCAGTCTCGCATATTCTACCTCCGGAACTTTAATAATTGGACAAAGAGCGTCCTCATTGGTAAGCTTACTTAATTGATTGCTTAGACTTTAATAAACTGTAACTATTTTTTGTATCAAAATGTAACTTTTTTCCTGCTTTCTGATGTTGATTATGGCACTTTGTCTCTTAATACATGGTAAGATTTTCAAGTGCAATAAAATATCTATATTTATTTTAATTTTATATTAAATTAAATTTTAATTTTTAAATTAAATATCACTATCTGTGATAGTGTTTTATATTGTTGGAGTGCCACATGTGTGCTAAAGTTTTAAAGAGCAACTGACCTGAAAACTAGAAAAAGTTCATACTGGAAACTGTTGTTCTTTGTGACATTTTAAAAGAGAAAGGTACAGCTTTAAATCATAAAGAATCTATCTGTTCTTGTTAGATTGAGCTGTTCTTGTTATTTAAATCTGTCTCAAATAATTTCTTAGCCATTTTCCTGAAGCAGTCTGTCCTCAGGTCTTGATTAAGCAACTCTGCAGGAAACTTGAAGACATAAATATTTTCTGTATTACCCATAGTCAACGGTTTAAAAGATGAAAAACTAGAGGATGTAGTTCTTTAAGAATCAGCAGCTTTTTATAAAAGGCAAAGTCTGCTGTCTCACAGATTAATTCCAAAGCGAGGAAACAAAACCATCAGATATCTGCAAACAGAGAAAACAATTATCAGCACAGCACCACAGAATCACGAAGAGGGATCTATGCCAAGAGATGTTGGCACCATTTGTCTTAGCATGCTGCTTTTTGTTGTGTTGTATGAGAGCGGTTAGAAGCAATATTTAGGTTTATATAAAGCTGTTCCTGAAGCCTGTGTCGAAGTTTTTCAGTCATGATGAATTTCAGTAGTGTGGCGTTATAGCAGTTGTATCAAAATATATTTCATGTCTCTTACTGTGAAGAAAAGTTGCTAGCATGCTGATGTGTTTTGCGTAATATGCCAACATCAGTCAGAGCAGAGACAATCTAGACAGAGTGGAGGTAGAAGAGAAAATGAAACTGGTATATGTAGAGTAAAAAGACAGCAAACAAGTAGCTAATGTCATTGCAAGGCCTAGGAGAGTGCGTGGAAAACATTATGCATTTTTGTAACGTGGCCGCAAGGAAATGTTGTGGCTGATGCATTTAATTGGCTTTTACTCTTCTGCAAAAGGCTTTCCCATACTCTCAAATAACATCTGCCTTCATTATAATGGTAATGAAAGGGAACCCTGTTTCCCTACTTGCGCACAGACGTGCAGTTTTGTCTTTGTCTACCAGGGAGACAGTTCAGAGCTCCAGTCACGTTACATGCAAAGCACATTAAGCACACAAAATATTCATTATCTTCTCCATAGTTTTAAAAGTTTGCGGTTCCTTTCATCATTTGTTGTTTCTAGGAAAAGAGATTTAAGTCTGTAATGTTAAGAAGACATAGGCGAATTAAGTTCTGAGGTGTTTTAAAATTCTCAAACTGTTTTGGCCTTTTAGGCTTCTCTGTACAATACAAGTGAATTACAGAGGCCTGTATATGCCTTCTCTCTTTTTGTTTTTCTAGGTGAATTTATAGATCGGGTACGACGGAAAAAGAATGATATAACTGTTTTGGATCTAGGATGTGGCAAAGGTGGAGACTTGCTGAAATGGAAAAAAGGAAGAATTAAAAAACTTGTCTGTACTGGTAAGAAGACACAATAACTTTCCAGAGAAAGTACATCAGTATTTTATGGGAAAACCAAGCACATCTCCAGTCTTTTTATTATTTCCTGTTTTCAGTAAGCCCAAGAATGCAATGATACGCCTTCTGTCAAAAAGTCTTACTTTGTTTTTTAACCTGAAGACATCAACTTGATTGCTAGCATAAATATAAGAACCATTGATTTTCTGTGTAATTAGCTTTCAGTTCAACTCATAAATAAAAACTAATATCACTAAAGAAACACACAATTGCCACAGATTGTCTTAGGCAAAATGTAGCACTGGGGAAGACTGACGTTTTGTATTTTAGGCCTGTTCTTCCACATCTAATCTCCTGTAGTACTTTTAACTGTTCTGAAAACACACAGAGGAGAGTTGCATTTTAAAAAACAAATAAACCACACAATGTTGTGCCAGAAAATGGTCTTGGGTGTTACAGTCATCTAAAGATTTTCAGACTCAGAAAGAGGAAGGGCTAAAAGCTGATTAAAAAAATCTTTTGTTTAAATAGTTTGCTTAGATGTTGGGAAGAAGATACTGTCTTACCTTTTCCCAAAAAGCATCCCAAGGATAATCAGAGGAAGTATTACTTCAAATTTAATTAGATACTAAAATTTCATAAAATTCCTTTAGAGGGAATTATTCTGGGTATTCTACATTTTACAGTTTTTTTTCTTGCCTTTTTCAGTTGGCAGCCTTCAAATCCGGTTAATTTACTTACAAAGTTCTTATGTAAATTTATTGCATATTGTTAGTTTTAAAATTTGTGCAAACTGTTATTCAGTGAAACTCGATGCCCAAAAAGAGGAACGGTCTTAAAAAGAAAATTAAAAAAAAATTTTCCATGATGCAATGTATCAGTAATATATCAGAAATAGTGGTATTTCAACATCTTGTGTATTTGTAAGATGATGAAGAGCTTTCAGTACTGTTTGAGAAACGCTGGGAGCTGAACTGTTTTAGCTAATGCATACTAGACTCTTAATGCTGACAGCACTTAGTATCAATCACCTAGTATCCATTGCTTGAAATTTTGGAGGCTTGCTTTGCACTTTTGAGAATGGGAGCTTTCTAAAATCTGCAGATTGCAACTTTTATCTTGAAGTAAAGACCGAAAATGACGGAGTTATAATCCCAAACACTTCCTGCAAATTAAATTCCTTTTCTACAAATTGGAAATAAAAGTGTTCCCCTCAAAGTGTAACTGAAGGTCAACTTTAATCCCTGCCATAATGGATCTGGTGTGTTCCAGTAATCATTCCAGTCTTCTTGTCTGGGGAGCAGTTTACACCCTTTGTTTTGTTTTTTAATTTCTCTCTCCATATATAGATATTGCTGACATTTCTGTGCAACAGTGCAAGCAGCGATATGAAGACATGAAAGCCCGATGTCGTTATAACGAACATATTTTTGATGCAGAATTTATACAAGCAGATAGTACCAAGGTACAGTTCCTATGCTTTGTAATATTTTGGATATTTAACATTCCTTTGTTAAGCAAGTATGGAAAGTGATGGTAGTGCTGTAATATTTTTGGCATCTATGTTTTTAAGAGCAGATTGTTGTGCTATCAGGAGAATCAGCCGTACGGGTTACAGAAAAGTTGCATAAGATGCAGTTAAATGTGCTTTGTTACTGTTTTTCAGTGTAACGTTCTTGAAACCTGAATATTTTTTTCATATAATAAATGTGCTTTCAGTTTCTTTCACTTGACAAGGGGAAGGGTGTGATTACTTACCTCTGGTGTTCTGGGAGCCAGCATGCGATCTTGGAAACTCTCTTGGTGATTGTGTGTTTATGCTGGAATGAATAAGCAACACTTTCTCATTTGACTTGTACGTTTTGCTTATCCCAGTATTTTTTTTATAGCAGGATTTTAATTACTGTAATAGATATCTTCAAAACTTGTGTGATAGAGCAGATTTCTTGGACTGTGTGGAGGCACTGGTGAATGTGTTGCTGAGGCTTAGGAGACAGTCTTGTAACCCGCACTGCTTTTGCTTCCTAGAAATGCAGGCTGAGAGTGCCCTGCTGATGCAGGCGGGGGGACAGAGCCTACCTGGTTCCAGCGTATCTGTGGAAAGGCTGAACCTGTTCTTCTCAGCCTTGCAGGAAGGGGTTGTTCGCTTGAATTCTTGCTTGCCTCTTGTTCTTCTGAGGGTACAGTCTGTTACAGGTTCCAGATCATCTCTTTTGGCTCAAAATTAGTCAGGGGAGAGGGGAAAGCGCCTTGGCCAGGAAAGAAAGGGATATTTTCGTGTTGCTTCTACGGCTCAGTCTTAAATGAAGATGTATTTTCTGTTGCATGCTCTGGTTCTGGCCGTCCATGCACACAAAAGTTCATCTCCCTGACTTTGTATCTCTACCGTCTATGTTGTATATAGTGCAAAATCTCATTCCCACAGCTTGTCTAATTCTGCCCACCTCTGTTTTTCATTTTCCTGTATCTTTCTCAAAATGTGGAGGGGAAGTAAATAAACAGATAAAATTGCTATGGGTATGTGAAGTGTCCGTTTTTGTCGTGCCACATACAGAACGTTGACAGTATGTGGCATGAACTGGTAGAGTCTGAGAGCGAGTGGGTGGATGGGAAGTCTGGGAGAGAAGAGAAACTCGGGTAGAACTCTTAAGCATGAAATATCTTAAGCATAGAATGCATATGATGGGCCTTGGGGAGAACCTGTGTGCTCCTGTGTAATTTACGGTGGCTCCTAGTACTGTATAAAAGAAGCCTGATCAAGAAGAGTTAGAGAACTGCTGAGTGCAGGGTCGAAGTGTGGCAAGCTTTAACCTGACAAATTTCAAGGGCTCTACATTCTTCAGAGTTACTGGTTACTCGGTCTGGGGTGGGGAGGAGTATGCTGGCACACGTGTACGTATGTACGTGTGTGAGAATACAGACAAATACATCTTGGTGAGCAGTGCAAATCACCATATTTAAAACAATCCCTCTTCCTCTCAATTGTATGTTTAATGGGTCAGTTCTCATTACAGAGACTTAGTAAACTGAAAATTCATTTTATTATAGTAATTATTTCCAGCTAAATGGTGGCCGGTTGTAAACCCTTAGCAGTAAAGTATCTCTCAAAACTATTAGGTAACTAACCTCGGGTGGTGTTACTTAACAATATGAATAGAATTTGAGGACATTGTAACTTTGAAACACGCGTGTGTATTCTTCTTGTTTCCAAATGTTGTGTATGGTTTTCTGTGTAGCAGAGGACTTTTTCTTACTCTTACCCTTTTCATCTTGTTCTTATTGAACTTGTGAAGGAATGGAGGCTGAAAGGAAAAACTTCAAAGAATTATGGGAGTAGTGTATTTGTTGGAAGACGTAAATGAGTCATGCTTGTTTCTGTACCTTTTCTTACAAATTTTTTTCTTTTTAATCTGTTTCAGGATCTCTTGTCTTCCAAATACAATGATCCAGATACACACTTTGACATTTGCAGCTGTCAATTTGTTTACCATTACTCATTTGAAACATATGAGCAGGCTGACATGATGCTTAAAAATGCTTGTGGGAACCTCTCTCCTGGAGGGTATTTCATTGGCACGACTCCAAATAGCTTTGAACTTGTGTAAGTACTTCTATAAGTCTTTCAAAAGTCTGTGAAGCATTGTTAAGTGATAGTCATTCTTACAGTGCTCTGATAGGTTTGTGCAAACAAAAGCAAGTTTTTTGCAACAGTTTTGGATTCTAGTCAGGAAAATCTCACTCATGAACTTGACTCAAACAGGTAAATCTGTACTAATCCTTGTCTCTTGCACCTGTGGCTCTTCTGGTATAGGGTATAGATCTTCATACATAAACCCTCTGTAGCAGCTTAAGTAGTGGCAGAATAGCCACAGCCTGGGGAATAACAGTCAGGGTTTTGCTGTGGTTGTTCCAAGAAGCCTGGCTTGTCCCAGTAGACTGTGTCGGCGCTAAAGGTTAATTTTCTAGGTCCATTTAGTCCTTGGTATGTTGTATAGGAATGACAAACTGTTAAAACGTAGTATGCTGCTTCTCTTCATTTCATTGTTTCATTGCTGCCTTAGATAAGGGAGGTGGGAAACTGCAGAGATCACTGAATGCTGTGGTACTGGGAAAAACACTTTCAGGCCTCTTATGCATCATTTTCTCCGCCTGTTAAATTAAAAACTGGTCAATTAATGTTTGTTTATGTCTCATTTTATAGAAAGCGACTTGAAGCTTCAGAAACAAATTCATTTGGGAATGAGGTGTACAGTGTAAAATTTGAAAAGAAGGGAGAATATCCCTTGTTTGGCTGCAAGTATGATTTCCACTTGGAAGAAGTGGTTGATGTCCCTGAGTTCTTGGTTTACTTTCCATTACTGGAAGAGTAAGTTAATTTTTGAATTCATTACACAATGAAAGCTGTGAAACATAATAGGCGTTTGTTTAGTTTGTGTGTCATTGTATGATACTTGCAGAAAAATGGTATTTTGGCTTTCTTAGCATATTTTTTCAGTTCTTCATTTTTGTTGTTGCTCCAAATGCAGAGGTTTCTTGCTTTTCCATCCACAGCTGTAATCTGCCCATTGTACTCAGCCGAAGGTGCTCTGGTCAGAAGCTGTGAAGACTTAAACTAGGTCTCACACGAGAATGTCTGTATCTGATAGATTGGATCTGTCAGCAAACGTTTTTTCATTCTACCTTTCTTTAGTCCTTCGGCAAGCCTTCTTGTATATCCTCTTCACCATGGTGCCTCTTTCTTGTCTTCTCCATCTTTCCTTGGCTGTTCATAGGATTTTTCATACGGCTTATTTTTTCTTCCTCTAAATCATCTTCATCTGTGAGCGTACATTTTGCTGTTACCTCTGTGTCAATTCAGATTTGCCTTTCCCAGCCTGTCTCCTGAGGTACAGACAAATGTTTCCATGTTGGGGTTTTTCCTGCCATTCAAGCTTAGTATGGTTGTTAAACAGTATTAAGCTTTCCCTTCAAACCTGTATGTTTTCACAGACTTCATTTGAATTCTCTGAAAAATACCAGCATCTGTCACTGACACCTGTAACTTCAGTGTTGTATGACCACAGTATCTACATATAATTGAGATTTAAGGCACTAAATCAAGTAGAAAGAAGTTCTCTAAATATATCCATAATATTTGATGTGACAGGGTGGTGATACTGCAGGGGAAATAGCGTAGTCTGTCTGGAAGTTCAAATAGCACTTAATTCTGTGTATTGAGAGAAGAGCCGTTTTTCTGTTAAAATGTGTGTAAATTACTTCTGTGTAGATGTTTGTTGACCTAATTAAAAAAAGTACAGTTTGTGGTGGTAGTGCAGGTTTTTTCATCTAAATGTCTTTAATAAAAAAACCAAATCCAAGAAGGAGAGTAGTTCTAACGAATGCCATAAGATGTCACTGTGGCTTAAAATTGTTCCTTTGAAAATAAATATAACAATAATTTTGTGGCTTCTCTGATTAAGCTTATTATTTTGACAGAATGGCGAAGAAGCATGGTATGAAATTAGTCTACAAAATGACATTTCGGGAATTTTATGAAGAAAAAATCAAGAACGAGGAGCATAAAATGCTGTTAAGGAGAATGCAGGCCTTGGAGGTAAATATGGAGTTAAGTTGTCTCATTTAAATAGCATTTTGCATCTTGATAATTATTTGTGCAATAATTGAAATTCTGTTGTGACCATTGTGCAGTTAATTAAGGGCTGCAATAGAAGAACGAAACTCCTGTGGCTGAAAGTGCAACCGTGGTGGGTTGACCTTGGCTGGCTACCAGATACTCACCAACCTGCTCTCCTCTTTTCCCAACAGGATGGGGGGAGAAAATAAGAAAAAAACCTTGTGGGTCAAGATAAAGGCAGGCAGATTGCTTAGCAATTACTGTCACAGGTGAAACAGACTAAACTTGGAGAAGATTAATTTAAATTATTATTAAAATAAGGATGGTGAGAAGCAAAGACAAACCTCAAACCACCTTACCCCGCCCACTGCTTGTTCCCAGGCTCAACTTCACTCCACTCCTGGCCTTTCTACCTGGGGAATGGGAGTTGTGGTCTGTCCATAACACTTTGCCTCTCCTTCCTCCTCATGCTTTTCCCCT